CGAGGCTTTGGGCGGAGAACGAGGGTGCTCTTAAGGCGCATTAGAATCAATACCGCCTTCACGCCGAACAGAAGAGCAGCATAGGAAAAGGCGCGCACACCAGCGACATGCTGCTACTGTGAAGACCCCCAACATGCGATCGACTTAGTTCACCTGTTATGGGGCTGCAAAGGCCTTGATGCAACAAGGAAGGAGTACCTAGAGGACGGGGTGACATCCATGGAGGACTGGGTCTTTCCCACAGGCCCTCCAGATAAGCAATACTAAACTCTACGCGCGCTTCTGGATTATATCCACGAAGCTGGCATAGAAGTACATATATAATTTCCTTCCTCCCATACCGCGAGTCCAGGCCGCGATGCCACTGATTCATTCTCCTCCCCCTGTCCCTTAAAGCGGTTCAAATAAACGTTTACTACTACTACTACTCAAAGCACGCTGTCAAGCGCGAGCCCGCGGCATGAAGCTTGCATCTTCATTGTTCTCATCACCAGAATCGAGAAAGGTAAGTCGATCTCAGTTGATTCGTAATTTTCATTCGCTGCTCCGGTCCTTTATGCTGTTTCGCCGGGGAAAACCTCAGAATGCAAGATTTAGTGCGAGTCTGTATTTGTACTTTGAGGATACGGTCTGTGCGGGCGAGACAGGCATAGAAATATGTTTTGTCGTCATGCATGAGAACACCTTTCTTAACTTCACTTACATGTACTGTACGGACTTGCTCGTTAGAAATAGCGTATTGTACTGCCACTGTGCAGACCTTTAACTGTGAACAGAAAGTACTAACCGAGATTGGGGAGTCCGATAGTCCTGCCCTACCGTGTATGCCAAGGGACGGCAGTCGGAAATCTACAGTAGGGGCGTGCTGGGAGGCCACTTTTAGGCATTTGTTTCGCGTTGGGTCCGTGGTTATAATATGCTTAGCGATTTAAAGAAGTGACACTGGTCAAGCGAAGCCTCCAGAATTCAGTGTCCCGTGCATGGCTTGCACTGACGCCACATCGGCTGACATTGTGGCGGCAGGGTTGAAAAGTTCGTACTTTTTGCAGCATACATTTTGCACTGTCGAAATTTTTGTTTTTCTCAGAAAGAGCAAGTAGGAATGATCGTCAGAATGGTGCGATGACGTCATGTGCAAGCCACGTAAACCACGTCTCGCGCCCTCTTCGCAAAATATTTGCTCTGGTTTTTTTTTTATCTGGCGGGATATGAGTGTTGAGGTCTAAATAATATGGTCCTAATCATTAAGCTCCATGCACAAAATTACATTCCCTGCAAATATTTCCAAAGTTTTCATTTATAAGTCGTGACAGAAAGTCGTTATTGTGTATAGGTTGTTTTCGCGTGGGGGTTTTGTTTTTAGATGACAACAAAATACAACTTAGCGTCTTACGTCATGAATTGGATGGTGTCTAATAAATCCCGAGAAAGGTCCCGTCATGGTACCCGCCGGACATCAGATAATATAAAAATTATGAATGATTGAAAGCAACCTACAGCCTATATTATGCCCCTCTGCGCTGGGTCACCGCAGCCTATGCTAGAAATATATAAGGTACCTGAAGAAGAGTAATTAAATAGTAGCAAGAGCCCCGGATAACAATCAGAAATTAAGTGATAATGTTTTTAGCAGGCTAATGACACCGTCTATTTCCATCGTTAGGTCATAGACGATTCGTAGTCCTTCATTGTTGCCTCTAAAAATTAGGCGGCAACGTTGGTTTCTTATAATATCTTGAAACGTTTTCGATTGCGGATCCCAAAACAAAGTTCTTTTGTTTCTAACAGATGTTACCGCAAAATTACCCTTTTTTTACTTATTTGCTTTCCTGTATCCGTCTCTGACGAGAAGATGAACACCGTCCGAAAACAAAACATATAGAGTTCTATTTTGCAGGTAATGTCTTGCAGCATTCCATTTTGCCCGTCACACAAAAGAAACAAAAATGGACTGTGCTTTCATGAATAACTCCGAGATGAAAGGCGCCAGTGTGGCTAAATGCCATTCAACGGAGACTTCTTTTCCAACTGACAAGTCTCCTGACAGCCTTGTACACAGCCCCCATTTCCACAGCTTCGAGCACAAGCAAGGAACAAAAATAAAAAGACAGCTCACGTCAGAGGCCGCGCCAAGCATTTTTCCGAAAGACCCTCACTTCTTAGACATGAGGAAGATACATAGAAAGGGGGGGACGGACAACGGACAACCCCCTTTCTATGTATCTTCCTCATGTCTAATTACCGTTACCAACACGCTCGTTTTGTTCTTAACCCTCACTTCGTCTAGCCACATCCACCCAACAAACGCCGTGTGGTAGAAAATAAGAAACCAGGCGAGGAAACCAAACGGCAGAAAATAGAAATCAGCTCATCAGAACCGAGCTCTTATGCAGCTCATCCTGACGTGCCACCAAAGCTCTTAGGTTTACATGTCAACATCATTCTTGGGCAGAGTCTTCGGGATGAGCCTCTTGCGTTTCCGGAAATGCTGACTCTTGGCAAAAGTTTAAGAGGCTTGTTCGCATTGCCTCTACATAAAAATATAAGCATCTGTTTTGACTGCCGCTAGTTTTGCTGCTCAGCCTGAAATCACGCTGTCAAGAGTGAGCCCTCGGCATGAGGATTGCATCTTCATTGTTATCATCATTACAACAGAGAAATGTAAGTCGATCTCTGTTGAATCATACTTTTTATTTGGTCCTCCAGTCTTTGCGCTGTTTCACTGAATCCTGGGTTCAATCCCCACCCCGGCCCGTTTTGATCTGGATGAGCATCGTACCGGCGTGCGGTCGTGTACCACTACTGCGCGCGATGCACGTTAAAGACCCCAGGCTAGCGGTTGCACTTGCTGCATTGGCTAAATTTCTCATCTACAGCTGGGAGACTCGTCGCCCGTTCAGGCAGACCAAGTTCTGGGCTGTATAAACATACAAACAACCCCTTTTTTTTCACTGAATCATACCTCAGAATGCAATATCGGAAGAAGGGAAAGCCAGCTGGGCGCTAAAACGTTTTTCCCATCGCCGGAGAGCCAGCTGGACCGGTGGCACACACCATGTCTTCGATCCACACTTAGGTGACAGGTCACGCCGCTTGAGTACAAGCTCAAGCGCAAGCTGGGAGACTTCAGAGCCCGCTTTCACGAAGACAGCCACATGGCGAGCCCAGGCGCCAACCGCTGGAGCCCCACCACGATGGGTACTGGGGCCCTATGTTGCACGTTTTGGACTCCCAGGGCGACTATGGAGAAGGAAGTGACGTCAACACCGCAGCAAATGCAGATTGGATGTTGATTGATGAGAGGTCAGTCAACATCCAATCGGCATTTGCTGCGTTGTTGACGTCACTTCCTTCTCCGTAGCCGCCGTGGGCGTCGCCGGAAATTCGGGCGGCTCGTCTGCAAGCCGTGCACGCAGTGAGCCCACGTCAGGCTCTCGAGACCGGCCTGATAGAAGTGAGCAGCCCATGGCGACCCGACGTAGACCACCGTCGCGAAGACCGCTGTTAGCCCTAACGCTCTTCACCCTCTTCAACCGTAACATCAACCGCGCACCCTCGACCACAAGCTCCATTTAAAAATTAATCTGTGCAATACCATCTCATCATCGTTGGACGCGGCGCCGTGGGACTCCACGGTATGTGCGACTTGCCTTTCTGCGGCACCGCGGCTCTTGTGAACCGAAATAAATCACTATCACTATTTAGTGCGAATCTATATTTTGACATCGCCTTCCTGGTTTTGATTGGCTGAACTTCTTGTGTTTTACTGAAATACTTAGAAGCGCAGTTCATTTGAAAACAACATCTTAGGCATTTGTTCTACACCTTCCGCGCTTCGGAAAGATTAAAGTGCGAACGATCAACTTCTTCCTTCCCATAGGCCTGCGTGTTGCGACGAGAGGCGGGAACCACATTTAGGGCTGCTCGAAAGTTCCGTAGACGGACGATAATTGTGAAGATGACAGTTTGCGTTTATCTGTTTGTGTTGTTTGGTTTAGAGTTCCTGCTCCCTAGGGGAGCCAGAGTTGCGCGTCTGTTTTCTACGTGCCGCCGCGCCACTATTCGCCGAGATCCGATCACGTGAGGAGCCGGATCAATTGTCGTGCAGGAAAGACGACGTCGCGCGCGCCCCGGCGTACGTTCCCCTGCTTTTGAGCACGCCGCGCGCCTCGAACGCGCGGCTCCGCTATTCGCCGAATTCAGTTACGTGAGGAGCAGACTCCGCATGCCGTGCAGGAAAGCCGGCGCTCCAGGGTTGAATGCGCAACTCTGGCTCCCGTAGGGAGCCTATACAGGAACTCTAGTTTAATTTAGAGTTCCTGTATAGGCTCCCCACGGCAGTCAGAGTTGCTCGCTCATCTCCGTAGCGTCGTCTTTCCTGCACGGCTAGTTGATCCCGACCGTCACGTGACTGAATTCGGCGAATAGCGGCGCCGCGCGTACGAGGCGCGCGGCGCGCTCAAAAGCAAGGGAACGTACGCCGGGGAGCGTGGAACGTCTACTTTCCTGCACGGCACTTGATCCGGCTCCTCAAGTGATCGGATCTCGGCGAATAGCGGCGCGGCGGCACGTGGAAAACAGACACGCAACTCTGGCTCCCGTACGGAGCCTATACAGGATCCCTAGTTCGGTTTGGTTGCGAGCGCCACCGAGCGCCCCGCAGTAGCAGTCTCACCGTGCGAATGCAATGGCCTGAGGAGCGCAGCCAGAGGGCGAAAAAGCTCGGAGGCCATGGTCTCACTAATTGGTTTCGGCGATGGCAAAGGCCAGGGCGCAAAAGCGTAGTTCTGAAAAATCCTTCGCTCGCATAAGCACTCGCGCAGAGAAGGCGCTTTCGAAGACCAGGCGCTCGTGCCCGCCGGCACTCAAAGCCAAATTTCGAGCAGAACTGTGCGTCCGCCATGTTGCTTACGGCAAGAAACCAGTAATCGGCGGGGCAACGAGCACGTACATGCGCAAGGAAGAGCGTAAAACAATATTAATCCTTAGCTCGCAAGTGTGGTTGAGGATCGATGACGGTGAGCAGGAGGCCTCAATTGTTACCGACGACGCTACGGACCTGACAAACAGCAGACGAATCTTGACCTAACAAAGATGGCATCGCGCAGACTTTTGGCAGACGTTCGAACAGTTTTGCATATCATATATTCAAGAAAACCAGGACTGAACAGAAGTCCTGTAGGTGAGAGGAGGAAGGAAAAGAACAAAGGCTCAGTCTTATTTTGAATCCGCTGGTTTGAATATGTTCTGCCGGTAGAACTTGAGCTCTTCGATGCTTTCCTTGATGTCAGCCAGGGCCCTGTAAGAACAGCAGAAACATGCTTCATTCGGTTTTGTTCTGAATTTAAGGGCGCATTGGCGGCTAAGGCTAACCTGAGTAAAAACCTCCGGTGCATTAAAGTATGTAACCATTTAATGTGAATGCTCCATTCGGTTGTTCATCGCCTACTTTTATGTGCAGTTGAACACTGCTCCTTCATCTTCGCGAAATGCAGTTAATTTTATCACTACAATGTGTACAAGCATCCTACGCTTTCTCTCTTGCTCGGCGTTCTCTGTAAATATTTGTGAAAAGCTTACACAAAAAAGCGCCATTGCCCTGCGCCGCACCGACCAGTCTTTTTGTGCCTTCCAACTTTAATCGATTGACCCTTAAAGAACCCCTAAAAAGATATATAAAAAAATTTTTTTTTGACAGACTGGTTGGGACACGCGTGTCAAAAAATAAATTTTACGCGAAAAAAAAATTAGAGCAATACTGACGGCGAGAGATTTATTTGAAATTCTGCGCGCGAAGTTCATGACGTCACGGGTCATTCCGGAATGACCATCTCGGTCGTGAAGGCGAAGCCGATTCACCCGAAATGCCACGCGGCCGAAATGCCGAGGGAGAAAACAAGTGGAAAGGAGGTGGCTGCCAACAAATCGCGCCTCGAGCCGTCAATATTGCTCTAAATTTTTTTTTCCCGTAAAGTTATTAGTTTTTTTTACAAACGCGTCCCCACATATGCTGTAAAAAAAAACAAAAAAAAACAGTGTTTTTTTAAATGGGTTATGAAACGATTTTTCTGCTTCCGCTATATACTACTTAGAATCACTCCGTGACGTTAATAAATGAATAAACTTGCCTTCTTCTTTATGATCAATGGCAGTCGACAAATTCGAGAAATATGAGCATCGTTCATCCCCTCAACTAGGAGCCCGAAGCGGCCACGTAGCCTTGTGCCTGTCCTATGCCGCCAACGTTAATCATAGCCAAGCGCTCGGGTTGGCAAAGTATATAGAAAACCCGTATCGAACTCCAGGCATTTGTTAGAGTTCGGCTATCCTCATCACCGCAGTGGTTGGACAGAAGTCACTTCCGAGTGTCCGCCGAAGCATTGATTGTTACGAGCCGAAGTCGAGTGCTCACGCAGTGTGTCCAATCCAAAAGCCGCGCTCGACTGTCGTCAGGCGGATGGTTTCGGTCCTACAATTACGCCATCAAGCTTCGTAAAGGAAAAACTAAAATAAATAGTTTTCTTTTATGCTTGCAATTTTACCGCGACAAAAAAAAAAAAAAAAAAGTTTCTGAATTAGTGGTGCGGTCTGTGCGAGTATACTTGGGCCAGACTAGGAATAGTACGCCTCTGCAAAGTCATGAACATTACAACCCGATATCGCTTCATGGCCCCTTTAAGCTGAAACTGCAGGCTACAATCACGAGCTAGCTTATAGCCGGCGCTCCTGGCTTTGAGACGTGAATTCCTACAGCAAGTGCTCGAGGTCGCGCAAGCAGCGACCTCGAGCTCCTGTGCTTGTGGCATGGCCTGCCCCGATCACACATATGCAACCGAGTACAACCGACTGAGACAAGACCGGTTTTTAAGCCTCTTGCGACGGCTTATTAATGGAGGCGCTGCTGCGGAGCTGGTCATAAGCCGCCACAAGAGTTTTAAAAACCGGTCTGGTCTCAATCGGTTGTAGTCAAACGTCAGCGTGGGAACGAGTCATAGCGATTCGTTGCCACTTTCGACTCTTTAAAAAAAAAAAAAGAACTTGTTAAGGAAATCATAAATGAAAAGAACGGGCAAGAACGGACATCTTTTGACTTTCACCACATATAGTATCTGTTAGACGTTGGCGTCGAGCAAAGAAGACCATGAAGGGAGGGTAAGAGAGGATGAGACATGAAAGGAAGCACGTAACGTATATCACGCGAAACACTTTCCTCTTGTATGAAATCCTTGTCCATCGAAATTAAATTACCTGTTTATCCTAGATGTAAGCGAGCAACATTTTGTGCATTTAATTCCACGAGAAGTAGAGTGTCATTAATGTTATTACCTGGCCGACTGAGTGAACAACATAACTTGGTTTTCTGGCCCTGCAGATTGCAGTTTTTTTTTTTTTAAGACGTACGCAACGAAATCAGGGACGCGTATTCCCAGAGATTCAGCGTACATAATTACATACGTCCAGCATGAAAACCGAGACTTCATTTTGTCCGAGCAGCCCACCAAAGCACATTTCTCGCAAAACTAGCAGTAAAATATTAAACCGTTAAGAATTTAATTGCTACAAAAACAAACAAAAAAAAGATTTTACGATGACACAGCAGCATGCACTTTAAGTTTTTTTTTCTTTTTTTCTCGTCAGCGCAACTCCCGTGCTTAGGAAAATAGTGCTGTTTTTAACCCCTGACCTATAGGGCATTTCACACAAAAACAATACTAATACCAGGCGTCATCCACTTGAGTTCAATCTGGCAGGTTATGATCGATGCTATCAAAGGTACAGGTGCGACAGAGTGACTCAGCAGACTAATTCGTATGACGCACGAGCGAGTGACTCAGCGAACTCATTCGTATCACGCACGACAGTTAGAAAACTTACGCAAAAAAAGCACTTCCTACGGCTATGCGCTCACGCTTGTGCATCGTACAGTGCTGCGCATAACTCTTTAAATAAGGCAGAGTGGCATCTACATGGAAAATTAGAACGCGTCCAGTGAAGTACCGGAATTGCACGGTCCAATGAATAGATATGACGACATAAAATTAATTGTGCACAATTCCAGAATGCTCATGGAGTCTGAAGACCGCGTGTCAAGATTTTCCGTCGTCTTGATTCGTTGAAGTTATAATTGGCGAACTCTTATAATATATGAATAATAGGTTCAGTCTTCCCTGTTTCGTACTGGTTCACCCCAAAGTAAAAGCAATAAATCGGTGTCAACCCCTCCCCCCCCCCCCCCCAAAAAAAAAAAAAAATCAATAAAAAAAATCCCGATTTTGGTGTGTGTGTGTGTGTGTGTGTGTGTGTGTGTGTGTGTGTGTTTTTAGGTGGTGTATTACAACAATGCCCCAAAATAAAACGATAGTTCGCAGACGTGCAAGGGTGTTCGAAACTATCTATTATGAAGCCAAACTACGAAACACGCAAAAACTATCCCCAAATGAAAACTACTTCCGAATACGGTTTTGAAGCGTGTGGAGGTCGCTTCCCCCGCGGCTGGGGTGTGTTGCAGAGAAGCAACACCTGCGCAGTCCGCGCTGCTTTTTCATACGGGTCGATATCACCGGTACACCGGGAAGCATAACGAATCACGCTGACTTGATTTTCTTGCTGCGCTTCTATTGGCTTCAACCACCGTCAATGCTTTACCGGCAAAAAGCGTACCAAAGATTTTAAGCGCTTCAGAAACTTAAGAACCGCAACTGTATTTCCTTATCCAGAAACGTGGCGCTATCTTACGTTAAATCTGGGACAACAATTCGCCTCTTCCCCCCCCCCCCCCCCTCCCTCCCCTTCCTCTTCCCTCCCCGGTCTTTGTCTGCGCAGCAGTTCGAGAAGCATGTTGAAACAAAAGCACTCCTCACAGGAGGGTTAGTGCGCGCGCGTCTGGAACTTCGAAGTTGACTGAAGCTACGCTCTGCCCGCAGGCAAAGTAGAGCTGCGGCTATCCAGTACATATTGAGGGTGGGTGGGAAGTCATTCTCTGATATGAAATTACCGTAGTCTCATTACGTGTTGACCGATTTTCAGAAATGCTCTTTTCTGATCTTTCCCTGTCCCTGGGAAAGATCAGAAACGTGGGATGTGACAAGTTCCGAACATTCTATTATGGCTGCGTTGCCAGTGAGATTGTGGTATTAGCTGATAAGGGCGCTAAAGACAACGAATCACGAAGCAAGAATCGTGAACATAATAAGCCCTCAGTTTCTTAAGCGGTAAACGATTATATAGTACTACGACAACTCTCGTGAGTGAGTGAGAACAAGTGGCGAACAAACTATCTTCGCCGGATCGCGCCGAGATTTTATGAAGTGTGTTCGCGCAGCAATGGTGGCGAGGTGTTCACGGTCGGCACGCTACACTCGATCCATTCCAACACAGTTCGAAATCGGCAGAAAACATTAATGAGAGCTGGATCGGTTTCGAATGGAGGGCAGTATGAACGCTGTGTTAGGAAAGATTCCATGGAATCTCCTTTATTAGCCAGTTGATGGCATACCGCGACGCTTGCAGCGCCTGGATAACAACGCAGGCGCGTAACGTGGAAATTTAATGCATCGCAATAATTCCCACGGACTTGGTAACGAACAATTTTCTTTGTGTAAATATATTTATTTGTAATAAAGTAGTAGCCGTTTAAATACGATACTGACTTCTCGCTCACCCTGCATATGTTGTCACGGATAAAAACTGGTAGACAAATTTAGAACTGAAAATAAACGTTTACCGAGGCGACCTTGTGCCCACAAAGTTAAAAAGTACCACGCATACTGCATCGGCGACGGAAGGCCGACGAACCTAGAGCGACCCATTACTACTGCTTTCGTGTAATCGGTAAATTCAGGAATGTTCCGAACCAGAGCACGCGATGACAGCCGATAATGATAGGGAGAACTATGTCGAGCAGGGTTCGAACCCTGCTCCTCCGCAATAGTGCATTTCCCTGACGCGCTATGTCCCCTGAATGTCACGAACTTTAGTAAAGATATGCAACTAAAGCAAATTAAAAAAAAAAAAAACTCCCGTTGATCTTTGCATAGGCTTTGTTACCTCCAGACTAATGTTTAATTAATTTATTTGTTTGTCGAATTCATGACCTATTTTTAAAAAAATCTTATCAAAAGAATTTGATTAGAAATCAACTTTTCGGGTCTGCTTAATTTTATTATGACAAGCACTCTCTTTTACATTCTAGGTGGTTTTGCTGAACCGTTCATGTGATAAACCATTTACGCTTCCCGAATTAGCAGGTATACAAACACGCTAATCTAGAAAAAAGCAAGCTAAAATAAGAAGGACTCGTTTGTGCACTCAATTAGGAATGACTTGTTTTTATTTTTCTTCTAGCTGTACTATTTTGGTTACAATGTTAAGCTAGTCGATTTCTGATTAATATGCAATGCAGTATATATATATATCCCTCTTCAAGAACGTCTACGTAATATTCTTCGTAGCCCCGATACAAATTACTTACGTGACATGACACATGTGCCATACTTAGTGCCTTCAGACACAAACCAGAGTTTAAATGAGACCACGCCGTGTCTGTGCCATGGGTTAGGCGTCCAAAAAATATTGCAGGTGTTATTTGCATGTAATTTCTGACAGACAATCGGTACATCCCAAGTGCCCAGTGTAGTACGTAGTGCATACCTGTGGGATCCTGTTTTTGTGTTCAGAGCATCCCAGTATTCCTTCGGGTACCAGCGTCTGCAAGTAAGCAAAGAAACAAGTAAGAAACTCAGCACACTTACTAAGATTGAAGAAATATGGCACGTTTCAATTGAAGAATCACTGCATATGATAGCTGCTAAATTGGCCGCCCTCAGTTTGAAGAAAGGTTGAGGAATAGCGGTACTCATGAAACGCATTCGGAGACAACCAATCGTCCACAGAACTGTCACTTGGTTCACACAATATTTTTTGGTGATTTTATTAACACCGTTAAAGGCTCGAACCCTACACATGTAAGAAGTACAACACATCAAATGTAAAACATATCAGAACAGCAGTACCAATATTTTTTTTTCCTTTGTTCCTTGAGGACTCGTGCATCAAGGTTCAAAGAAAAGTGGTCTGAGATTAGGGTTTCCCCGTGGTTGTTGTGTGAATATGCCTTTCCAGCGCTTATCACACAGGCCAAAAACGCCGAGTCACTGGGCTCTGGAAGCATGCGCGGCGTTTGAAATTCCCACAGAAGAGAGCTAGTGCGCATGCTCAGAACGCATTCCACAACCCAGTAGACAAAAACTTCATCGCATTCTCATTCGCTTTTTGTGCTCTTCCTGCTAGTGACCAGGAAGTGCGGCGGACATGGCTTGGTAAGTAGAGCGTTTGGCTCGCAACTGAAGGGTCGTCTAAAATTATGAAAATTTTTCTGTAAGGCAAAGGAACTACTTTATAAAGTGAATTCATTTGAGACATGCGGCTACCTTGAATTCGCATTGCCCATGACATGTTTCTTAATCACATTCATTCCACGTGTGACGTCAGGTTTCACGTAAGCGTTGTGGGTTGTTGGATATTCCCGTGCAATGTCATGTGACTGTGACGTCATGACCCTACTGACCAATCAGGATTTTCGCATCACGCCACCGAGACCGGCTTTTCTGCGATATGAGCTCCTTAACGATATCGCATTCAAATGGCAGCGCGCAGAAGACGATTATTAGAATGCACTGTACAGTGCGTAAGGGTGGCGCCGAAAAACATTTACAGGGTTTTTTCACCGCAAAAGTAAACTACGAAATGTCCGAACGCTCATTATCCGCTCAAAAGTAGCGGCGCTGGAGGTCCGAATTAGATGCCAAAGTTTCAACGCGAACCGATATTTCATTCAAAAGTTATGAGATTTTTGAAAATTTCAATGATAAAATGAGCCCGATTTTCCCATTGAAATTTTCAGAAACTTCATCTATAAAAATTTTTGTGAAATATCAATCCGTGCTGAAAATTGGAATTTGGTTTGTACCTCTAGCGCTACCTTTTGGCGGAGAATAAGCGTTCGGCAATCCGTAATCTACTTTTGCAATTAAAAACAAAAAATTTGGGGAAATTTTTTTAAATTAGACAGATTTAATTTGAAAAGAGGCGTGAACGTTACATAGACCCCGCAGTGAGTGTATATCGAGCTTGACGAACATTATAGGGGAGGATGACCGTCACAATTACCAGGCCAATGAACTCAAATCTGCTAAATGTTTTAATTCACTGAAAAATAAGTCTCGATAAAACTTGCCGTTTTGAAAGCACGTTTTATGAAAAAACGACCAATTAAAAAAAATTCCGAAAATGTACCGGGATTTAAGACATTACAGACTTATCGTAGATCGTTTTCATTACTCCGCTGCGCTCTCCGCAACGAAGAAACCGCCATGTGCGCCGCTGGCCTCGACTATACAGTTCCGAATATCATTGCGGGTTACGGAGGGGGTTGCGGGACGGAAGAAATTATCTACGAAAACTCCCTATTTATTCCGACTTTGCGTTTTTGCTACCTAATTTCAAAGCAGGGCGGATAAAAAAAGAAGTGCCGCAAGCCCTGTCCACAAACATGCGCAGAAGAGTGACGTTGTCATTTCGGCCAGCTTGTCAATGGACAGCTTTAGTAGATCGTTTTGATGACTCCGATAACGATACCCCGCCGGCGTCTTTGCGCACACATCGCATCGTTAGCGGCTATCGTTAACGGAGCGCAAAAACGAACCAGTCAAACTTTCTATTAGGGAGTTTTCGTAGGCCGTAATCCACACCTTTCCGCTACGCCTTCCGCAACGAAAAAGCCGCTACTGCACGTACGCGCCGCTGGCCTCGTCTGCAGAGTTCCGGATTTCAAAATGGTGGATACTTGGGCTAGTTGGTGGTTGCTATACATAATTAAACAGCGCACAAGGAGAGGGACAGAAAAGGAAGACAGAACAGGCAAGCGCTGACTCGCAACTGACGATTTACTATGAAAAGGAGAAGGAAGAAAACTACACACATGAACATATATCGGAAAAGAGAAAGATGTGAAAAAGCTAATAAATTAAATAAAATTACACCTAAAATAATTATAGCTGAAAAGGAAAACAAAATAAAATGAAAATCAATCTCTCAAAGTCCTAGGCATGTCCAGTGCCGGCACTCCGAAGCCTTGACCATACACCTATTTGTGCGCAGCTGCCCCCATAAACTCATACTCGCTGTCTTGTAGTGTTAATGATGGCTGGCTCACACATTTGGATTCGAGCTTTCTTATCCAAAAGGCTTCCACTATTTCTCTTGTTGTTTTTTCTTTATGGGAAGCTAGAACAGTTGTTGCACAAAAATCTGGATCACATCCACAGGTTCTGCAGTGGATGGCTAGGTGGCTTCCAGTGGTGGTTTGAAGAGACTGTTTATGTTCCCTCAAGCGGTCGTTGAGGCAACGCCCAGTCTGTCCGACATAGGTTTTCCCGCAGGACAGAGGAAGATGGTAAACCACTTGTAGAATGCAAGACACAAAGTGCACCTTGTGGTTTTTCATGCAGCAAGCCCTGCTGTCATTGTTCTTGTCCACAAGCGTGCAAATTCTACCCAGTTTGTTTGGGGCTGAAAACACCATGGGCACGTTGTATCTATTGGCAACATTTTTTAAGTTGTGCGACGTCTTGTGGATGTATGGTATAACTAGTGGTCGGATATTGGTAAGGTCTTTGCTCTTTTTTCTTTTGGTCGATCCTTTACAGGTTTGTATCAGAGTGCCCGCAACTTCACTTAACATGGCTGATGGAAAGCCGGATCTTGAGAGTTTGTTTACTTGAGTGCTGAAACTCTGTTCGATGGTGTGGTGACAGGATTTTTTCAAAGCTGAATACATGCACGAACTGGCTATCCCTCTTTTTATTAATTTTGAATGGGCAGATTGGTAATTAAGAATTTCTTTTTTGGAGCGTGGTAGGTAGGACCAACAAATGTGGTGATCTGAGATTTTTATAGATAGGTCCAGGAACTGCAGCACATTTAGAATAGGTTGTTCATACGTAAAACTCAGACCTTTACCGCTTCTGGAGAAAACACTCAGGATTGTATCTATTAAGTCTTCTGTTTGTTCTTCTTGGAGGATAATAAGAAAGTCATCAACGTACCTGAAGACTTTTATAATAGACATAGTGCTCAAAAGCGGTGCGAGGATCATGTCTACGCCTCCCAGAAAGATGTCGCTTAAGATGGGAGCAACACATGACCCAATGCACACTCCAGACCGCTGTAGGTATGAAGAATCTTGCCATTTTACAAACAAGGCTTTCAGATAAAAGTCTAGTAGCTCCATGAAGCTTTCCGTTGAAGTACCACTCGAATTCTGAAACTTGATTTCTCCTGATTGTTCAATAGTTGATTTGACTGAAGCCAGGAGAGCATCCTGTGGAATGGAGTAATACAGGTCCACCACGTCTACGCTGAAGGCTCCTCTCTTCTGATTGGTGTCACTCTTCAAAAAATCAATTACCTCCTCGGAGTTGTGTATGAGGAACGGGTCAACTATGTTGAGGCTAGAGAGGTGAGTCTGGAGATAGAGGGCGATCTGTTTCTGCCAAGTACCCCTTTCTGATACAATGGCCCTGAAGGGACATGCATCTTTGTGGGTTTTTGCACTAAAAAATATATCCAGGTGCAAGCCCTCAGCTTTCTTTATTTTTACCGCCAGCTGATTGAGACTTAGCTTTTGACAGGTGGCATATGCTCTTTCCTTGATCTTTTTCAGTACTATGTCTACAGGCTTGAAATTTTTCATTACAGCAGCGTTAGCCTTTTCATTGTACATACCCTCGGGCATGACGACGAAGCCCCCTTCTTTATCTGAGAGCAGAAGTTTCTGGGAGTTTTGCCCTAAATATCTGACCACGGGTCTGACTTGAATGGGCTGTCTTCCTTTCTTGATGGAGCTTTTGATGATGTTCACACATTCTGAGATGCATCGGGGACGATCTGCTTCTGGAACTTTGAAGGCTACCTTCCTTGCCAAGGTTAGTAAAGCAGGTGGCTGTAAGGTGGGTTCCACGGAAAATTTAGGGCCTAGGTCTAAAGTCTTCCTCTGTCCTGCGGGAAAACCTATGTCGGACAGACTGGGCGTTGCCTCAACGACCGCTTGAGGGAACATAAACAGTCTCTTCAAACCACCACTGGAAGCCACCTAGCCATCCACTGCAGAACCTGTGGATGTGATCCAGATTTTTGTGCAACAACTGTTCTAGCTTCCCATAAAGAAAAAACAACAAGAGAAATAGTGGAAGCCTTTTGGATAAGAAAGCTCGAATCCAAATGTGTGAGCCAGCCATCATTAACACTACAAGACAGCGAGTATGAGTTTATGGGGGCAGCTGCGCACAAATAGGTGTATGGTCAAGGCTTCGGAGTGCCGGCATTGGACATGCCTAGGACTTTGAGAGATTGATTTTCATTTTATTTTGTTTTCCTTTTCAGCTATAATTATTTTAGGTGTAATTTTATTTAATTTATTAGCTTTTTCACATCTTTCTCTTTTCCGAAATATGTTCATGTGTGTAGTTTTCTTCCTTCTCCTTTTCATAGTAAATCGTCAGTTGCGAGTCAGCGCTTGCCTGTTCTGTCTTCCTTTTCTGTCCCTCTCCTTGTGCGCTGTTTAATTATGTATTCCGGATTTCGTAGAGGGTTGCGGATAGCGTTGCGAGTGGGAGTAAACGATATAAGAAAACTCCCCATTAGGGAGCTTTAGTATATCGTTCCGATATCTCCGATAACTATACTCGATACTCCGCCCTCGCCTCTGCTCATGCGTGATATCGTTATCGGGTATGGTTATCGGATTTATTGGAATGCTCTACTAAAGCTCTCTATTTACTCGGCAGCGTGCCGGGGTTGTGGTTTTATATCTGCAACGCACGCTTTCGTTCCACGTGCTCTCGAGCAGCACTGCTTGAGAGGGAAACTGAAGCGGTTTTGTATTTGAGCAAAAACACCAAAATCGTCTTCATTTGGCCTCCACGATCACGACTATCGAGATTGTTTTTCAATTTGGTGCTCGGAGGCTGTAGAAATTAATTTTTAAAGTACCGCTGAAGCCCCGCCTTTCTGGGGCGTGACGTCATACTAGGAGTTTCCGGAATCCCTGTTCTCGCGCACCTTCAGCGCCTGTCAGAGCTGTGCACGCGCAGTCTTGCTATTTTCAAATAGGTCAGAAATAGAGGTCACGACAGGGGTGCTATGTTGCGCTTTTTGGACTCCCAGGAGACTAGGGAGAAGGAAGTGACGTCAAGGATACAGCAAACGGAGATTGGATGCTGACAGAAGAAAACAAAATCAACACCCAATCTGCGTTTGCTGTGTCGTTGACGTCACTTCCCTCTCCCTAGTCTCCTGGGAGTGCAAAAAGCGCAACATAGCCCCCCTGGCGTCACTGCGGAGGAATATACCTGGAAGCTTGCAATTGAACGCGCTGCCTGCACGAGCGACACGCGCTTGGCGGCTCAAAGATCCTAGAATGACGTCAGGACTAATCGGAGGTTTTTTTGTGTTTTCTTGAGTTTAGTTTACATCTTCGGGGAAAACGAATGTCATATTTAGATTCACGGATAAACAAATACGCAAGAGTTCACTTCTAACTTGTTTTTTTTTTTTTTTCAAGAAGAGTTTCAGTTTGCCTACATTAGCCTATCAAGTCCCTTGGAAAACGCATCTACTACAATGTTTAACTGCTACGCGAGGTCCCATGATTATAAATGCACAAGGCATTTATAAACATCGTCGTTGTAAAGGACATAAAAAATTGAAAAAGTTACAGGCCAGTATATTGATGGTCGAGGCAAATTTGTAGGAACCACGTTGGTCATTATCTATGACTGCGATAGCATTTATCGTTGCACACGGCGCAAATTTAGCGGGGAAACTGAGCTAGGGCATAGGTTGTGACGTCAATTTTTTCTGCTAAATTTAACGGGAAACTCCGCACAAAATCTTTGTCGTCCTTGACGTCACGCTAGAGGTCGTCCTGAAGGTCGTCCTAGACTTCGTACTTAACGTCGTCCTCTAGGACGTCTCCCTAGACGCCGTCCCTGACGTCGTCTAGGCCGACGTCCTAGAGGTTGACGTCAAAGACGACATCTAGAACGACCTTTAAGACGACCTCAAGGACGACCTCAAGGACGACCTCTGGGACGACGTCGAGGATGACGTCAAGGGTCGGGTCTTTCAAAGAGGGTGCGAATGTGAAAGAGTGCTGCGTAAACTTGCATGCGCAAACACAGAAGACGAACACGAAGAAGGGGACAAGGACAAGCGCGGAACATGAACGAGTGCGTAGTGCCGCTCCGCATACGGTCGGTGCAATGGGGTGCAAGCACAGTCAGCTGAAATGATCTACTGCGCATCAGAAGGCCAGATTACACGTAGCTGAAAATCTTGAGTAGTAACTTAATAATGCTATCGGATTAAAATTAAGAAGAAAATAATTACAGGGCACCTTCTTCTCGGAGTTTCCATGCAGATCGGCGTGACCCACTCGAAACCGCGTTAATATTTACACGAAGTCGTCTATTATGAAATGTGTCTTTATGGTGCCTCGTCCAGCGTTTCTTAAACGGTCAGTGACTAAAAACTTTGCAATATTGAATACGCCATAGTACCGGAGAACAAGACGAAATAGTCATTAAGCTACGGGCGGCCGAGAGTGACTGCTATACGAACGAGCGCACATTGTCGGCTGCTCATCTCCGATGCCACCAAGGAGCATCACCTAGCCCACGTCCCCTGAGCAAACGCAGGCGCAGCGGAACGAACCTGCAGAGTTCCTTGACGGTGCTCACGTCCACGATGCGGTAGTGCAGGTAAGAGTTCAGCTCGGGCATGTAGCGGGCCAGGAACAGCCGGTCCATGTAGACGGTGTTCCCCGCCAGGTGGCACTTCCCCGGAGGAACCAGCTGGCTCACCAGGGAGAGCACCCGCTGCTCCGCCTCTTCCACGTTCACGCTGCTCTCACGGCACGCCTGCGTCAGCCCCGACTGGGAGCAACGGGGGCGTGCGCATTTTTCGTCGCTCGCTCCATGCCTTCCCCGCGACGCGCTTGGACTTCCGCGCAACATGCAGGCTATTCGCGACTCCAGCAAAACGGACGCCGCCAAGCGGGAAAACCGGGAACCAGCCGGTCCAGGTCGCTCCGCGCCCCTCCGCGTCTCTGATGGCTTTCGCGGAGACGTGTTGTCGGCGCGGTGGCGAACGATGTAATTTGACGAAGGTCCGAATATTTCTAGAGTTTGCCTGAGTGTTCGTTAGCGTGGTAAAGCCTCAGTACATTCTTTTCTTCTATTACGTGTTTGAAAGCCCGTTTACTCCACAGCACACGGTCGCGTGCTTTCGATTTCTTGGATGGGGAGGAATCACGGGAAAACGTTTTGATTTCTTGTCTGTCTCGAATCACATTCAAAGTGACGACTGCTTGGTAACTGATACTGGAGGAAACACCAATGCTGCAGTCAAATGAATGGGAAGGTTCGATAGCTGTTTTTCTTGAGTTTGGTTGCGTTCGGTTGGCTTCAAGTTTGAGCCACCCACGCCGGTCTGTGCGTTGGCTATTCATCTTGGCTGCTTTTCGCCGAAAAAGCCTCTGGACCACACTGAAGGAGTTGGGCTGATTTCGCAATTACTTGATTTGGGAAAACCTGCTCGCTGCATACGATTAATGAGGGAAATTATCCGTTTTCAAAAAGTGGGGGACGAGTTTCGCGACGTAAGAAGCTGTCACGGCATTTTGATCTATTGCGCCTCCCAATATTTAGATTATACCCCCGTCAAATCCAACAGCAATATCCGTTTACAATGCTCAGGTTGACCGGCCACAAAAAAATACTCATTTTCTCCGTTCAGGATTCGAAGCAAAGTTCAATGCAGAGAGGTTCTGCGTGAATTTCCGATGAAGACTCTCTTCAGTTTGTCTTCGTGCTGCCGGCTAGAACTATATGGCTGAGTTTCGTAGTATCTCTCTGTCTGTCAACTATACTTTTATCCAGCAGTTCACCTTATAGCTAGTCAACTAAGCTCATATTTCAACCCGAAGAATATACTAATATCGCTTTAGTGGGACATAGTACGTAATAACCCGCTCGTCAAAATGACTTCTTGATTGCTACTAAAACCTGAATTGAAATACGAGTATCAGCTGCTTAGTGGGGCGCCGGAGAGTTAACATGGTCCTTGGCTCAAGAAGCGGTTGCTTAATTTTCGTAATTTTCCTGCAGCCTGTGTTGTTGGCCGAGCAGACTGGAGCTGTTTTGTAAACGCGGATACGCACAAAAGCTCGATTTCGCGGACAGATAAGTCGCATGGTCGAGGCATGCGAGTTAGCTGTAAAGTTGCTCTCTGTGGAACAATTCTATAGTCATCGCCGCTTTCCTTAGATGATCAAAACTGATTAGTATATTACCGTCTCTCCGGAGCCCATAGTTTCGGTTTTGAACGAAATCTCCGAAACGAAAGTTTGACACGAAAAGGACAAAAAAACACCGGCAAAACAGAACTATGCTTGCAAGTTTATCTGCACCGGCTACACTTAACCGTCTCAGTTCAAATACCTATAAAATTGGGCATTAAACAAAATAAAATCTGTTAAATTGAACGCGCCACCTGTTCAGGCGGCCCGGCCGAGCCGCCGCGACCTGGACTCAGCCGCCATGTTTGTTTGGTGGGGGCGCCCCCTATAGGTCGCTGGAGTCGCGAATAGGATCGCATTCTACGCTGCGGATCTTTTCGTAGAGCATGCAAACATTCCCGCATGCGAGGCTCAGGTACGCGAAATAATTTCCATCAAATGAAGATGTTTATGCCAGTCGCTAAGCAAAGTCGTTTTCGGTCATCGATTTACGGTCAGCTTAAATTAGTTCCAGGCCCATACATATTGTAGCCTTACACGAACATGGAACTAAATGCTGCACTTGATAAAACATAATAAAACGAAATATAAGACACTTTCCTATAAGTCAGGTTTAATTTCTGCCGAACTTCCAGTACGACGCTGGGAATCTCTATCGTAAAGTTTCATTGAAAAAAAAAATGATTGTGAGGAGAGCCAGATTGACTGATCTTTCCAGTTTCTCCGTAATATCAAACACCTTGGCATCCCAGTCTTGTTCTTATACCTCTCGACACGTTCATCAGACGCCTTTCGTTAGCGGACACCGCAGGTAGCGAATTCACGCTCTTAATTCACGCTCAATCTTCGAATTTCAGTCCCCGTACAGAAGTTTAGCTCGATACATTAGGAAAACGATTTATGAGGTACCTTAAGACGGCCACGAACCCTTTGACTCACGGGCGTGCAAGGTATAGGGATGTCACTATCTGATTTTAAACGGATTTACGCGGGGTAAGACGTGTTTTGTTCTCAAGTCTGCATATTTGTGGTGCACTAAATTTCCACGTACGCACCAGCGTAATCAAACGTTGGATTATACCTTTTCCAAAATTCAGTCTGGTCACTTTGATCACTATCATCATCATCATCATCTGAAAAGGGTATATTGCTATTTCCGTACTAATGGCGGCCTTCTGTTTACCGATGAAAAGACATGTTGAAGGTACTCCTAAGCTGAGGATTCGAGGCACATTCGAGACGTTAGCACGTTGCAAAGCAGGAATTGAATGCAAGAGCTGCGTAAGCGTTCATTTCTATAACTCGGGCTTAGTCAATCTGTTAGTAGCACAGAATCGACTTCAAAGCCCCTTGATGTATAAACCCTTTTCACAAGGGCGCCGCCATGTTGAATTGTCGTCACTTCCAGTATGGGCGAAAACCTTTTTTTTTCCCCGTCGCCACGCCAATAAAAGACATTTATAATATAAGTGTAACCGGCATACATTCTCGTTTTGCCTCCCCCTCTCTCTCTCTCTCTGTATGTATGTATGTATATATATATACTTTTTACTGGTGGAAGCGTTTTGTTATATTTTCGTCACCCATACCGGATACGCCTACTAGGTCGCTGGGGACGAGAGTGCACGAAAATGGTCCACATATGAAGGCGTCCTATCTGGGTTGGCGCTTCATTCTGACTGTTTGCATCTCTGTGGCCATCGACACTGAAAGAAATGGCCGAGAAGGAACTGCACAGTGAAAAGCACATTCTCGTTTGCTGTTGACCTGCGAAAGTGACGGTGCCCGATCAAATACAGCAGGCTACAGGTTCAATGTCGCCATTAGTACGGCAAAAGATAAATCGCCATTTCAGCCACCTGACGGCACTGAATCTCGGAAAGGGTCTATTGCGTAGCGGTATGTCATCAGTTGTCCTGCGAAGGAAATACTAGGGAGCATTTCATAACACATCGATGATACGTTCCTCTTTTCTGCAACCGACTCAGTTGTCATTACTTTTGTGCGTCAATTTCAGAGTGTGTTGGGACCACTGATCTCAATGACAATTGCTGGATCGCGCTTCCCGCTCCCGCAAGTGAAGCCACTGGACGGCCATCCTGCTCGGGTAGTTTTGCTAGCCTTTTTCTACTCGTTCGTCGTCATTCGCCGGAGAAGCTTTTCAAGACTCTGTGTACCAGGGTGACTTGCGGTTGTGAACACGCGGAAATTTTTACGAAAGCGCAGTTCGCAGGGAAAAGGCACAACTCGTCAAAAGCAAGTTTCACGGGTCTCGCGGCGGGATCAAAGCTTCCTTGGCACGCCGAAGTGCTGCGTTTCTGTGCGTTCGCACGCTTGGATACCGATCAAGAATCGACGCCGCACCAAAGTTCTGAAAATGTCTCGCGCGTAGATGTCTTTAGATTATTCATATATCGGCCACGGAGTTCTGAATCGTCCAGCTGTTTCGGTGAGTTGCTATTGATTTTAAAAAAAGGGGGGGGGGGGGGGATTTGTACGTGCTCTTGTGTACTATTAACTATGGCTATGTTCCAAACCTACTCTAATGAATTACGCAGGAGCACGAATAGAGCAACGCTGTGGAGCAAGTAGGGTTTTCGAAAGCAAAAGTGCAAGACGGCGAGAATGGAAATCAGTTTGAAGAGCGGCCGATATGGTCGTGTGCGCTGAAACGTCAAGTACAATTAAGTAAGTTGATAATGAGCCAGCACCGATCAGTGATGAGGAGCTGTTGTGCACGGTATTCTGTAAATCGTCTAAGGACAAAAAAAAGACCTACCTTCCCCCCCCCCCCCCCCCCCCCCCCCCCCTCTTCTGTCGCTAGTGGACGCTGGATTAAGCTCGTTTCTGAACCGCGAGGGCCGCAAGTATACAGTCGTCAGAGTAAAGTAAGACGCTGATCGAGAGGCACATACGGCTTCACGCACATTGCACTCGCAAAACACATCCACACGGCGTCGATTCTTGGTCGGTATCCAAGCGTGTGAAGGCACAGAGACAGCACTTCGGCGTGCCAAGGGAGCTTTGACTCCGCCAAGAGACCGGCGAAACTTGCTCTCGACGACTTGTGCCTTTTTCCTGCGACACTGCGCTTTCGTAAACTTTTCCACGTGTTCACAACGGCAAGAAACCTACACAATCTTAAAAAGCTTCTTCGGCAAATGACGACGAACGAGTAGGATAGCACGCTGGCAAACCGCGGCAAAAGACTAGCAAAACTACCCGAGCAAGATGGCCGTCCGGTGGCTTCACTCGCGCTGCAGCGAACAAGCGGGGAAGCGCGATCCAGCAATTGTCATTGAGATCAGTGGTCGGGACGGTGTAGCAAGTAGGCAGTTTACATCTCGCAACTATGGCTGCACAAGCACGACATATCTCCACTTTTCGTACCGTGAAGCTATCTCGGCGCGATACGGCGGATACAGTTGGCTCGCCATTTTTCTTACTCACTCACGCAGGTATCGTACTTTATACCTAGAGTTCGGAATTTTCGGTTTAAACCGATAAAAACCGATAAAAGTACGCCGAATTCATTTTCGGAAATTCGGTTTTAACCGAAAAAGGTCAGTGTTTAGGTTCGGCATTTTCGATTTAAACCCATAAAAACCGATAAAAGTTCGTCGAATCCATTTTTTT